TCTGTGTCAGTGCCTGCTTGTACCCATAAACATGCCTACACACAGATGCATGCACACATTCACTTGTGTGTTTGTGTCTTCATGTGAATCAACTAGAAAACAAAGCTTAGGGATTAATACTGGAGACAGGTAACAAAAATCCATGGTTCCCTAATTACTGCATTTGAATAAGTGTATTTCCACACTGAAACGTACAGAAAGTATGCAATCCATATATATAATTAGTGCATAGTACGCAGCATCTACATCCTTGTAAGAAAACAAATGCCCGATTTCACTAGAAACCAGATAAAATAATTAAGACTTAAAAAGAGACCAAGATTCATATATGCAATCCATATATATAAGCTCGTTTCAGCACATCTCTGCAACCCTAGATCCAAAGAGACCTTTTCATGTGAACGAGATGCCCATTAGAAATCAGCCTACAAATGCATATACTGTAACATGCCTCTCCTGTAGCGAAAAAGAACATGGCATTATCCCCAAAGTACCGGCATAGTGTAAAAATGTTATCTGGTACTTAAAAAACTTTGTTTCAACAAGAAAACTTTGTCTCAACAAGCTGCTTGTAGGCCTGATCGTATACCAAATTTAATACCAATCAAATGCTGGTGGGTTAAGTCAGAAGCATAAATACAAGATAACGCTCCTATAAATATGGGCTCTTGCAGAAAACAGACTTGAACTATATCAACTAAATCATTCCGCTGTTAACCCCAACATGTTATTTAAGATAACTCCCTACACTACGTAACTAACAGCTTCTTGTTTGCAATTTACCCTGATCATTTTGACCTCGTCATTTGCGAATAGTCAAGTTTATTGGATAGTCACTTCGTAGCCTAACAATTACACTGGGTTCACATGAGCGCAATGCTGCAGAAAAGTATTCTATATTATAATCTATTACTTAATGTGTAATTTTCTTAATAAAAGAGTATCGCTCAAAGTTCTCTAAACAAGTACCAACAGTAGCTGAACCTTGTATTTATGGCTTCCTGACAACCTGAAATCTGATATATCGCTTGTGAGGATGCTAACAAATTGCTTATGCTGAGTACTCTGGCGCTCTAACAAAGATTTGAGTGAATTTAATACAGATAACAAAAGTTTTGTGATAATGAATCAATCATACTTCTTGACATTTGTTGTGTTGAGGGATTGAAACGACATAGTTAAGAATGACACACGGCTCCCCTTGCATATTGCAACTCCAGCCCAGTTCTCAGAATCCTCATTTGCATGTTAACCCCATCCCATAAAAGTATCTATAAATAAAATGAAAAGGTTTAACTTTACTAGTGCACAGCACTAATTAACCATCACTATTAACTAACACCATAACATAATGGACAGAAACCAGTGACACTATGAAACCGTCGTAAAATGACAGAAGAAGAATTTGAAGCCATGGTGAATGGGAATTAATAGGAACAAAAATACCCAGGTTCAATTTTCTTTTTGCTACCTTTTTGTGCCTACATCTTAATCAACAGTCTTAGAAAATTAACGACAATACAAAATAATGGAGCTTGAAAACTATGAAATCAAAAGGTTCAGGACAATCATTAAAGCAAAGATTAGAAAAATCACCCCCATGGTTTAAGCAATGCGAATCCAATGCTGGTAACCTTACCCCCCCAAATTGCCATGCAGCAAGTGGCACATAGAAAATGGTTCCAAGGTAAAACCTGCATAAACAGAGGTTTCATTTCCCAGGAGTCTCCACATATGTACCTCATTTCAATTAATAAAGGAGAAGAATTTGTAAAACATATATGTATATATATATTATAATCATTATATATATATATATATATATATATATATACACACACACACACACAGACACAGATCTGAATCAGGCATGCAGACAAAAGCTGTGCTCATTTAACTTTACATATATGTTCTATATCAATAATCGCAAGTCTAGTTCCTCCTACAAGAACTTAAAAAGGAATGCAGGTACTAAATCCGAATAAACAAACAAAATTCTACAGTGTTCCACAATGAAAACAACTTTTTAGTAACAGCTGGTTACCTCAAGTAGATCTCCACATTAGATCAGATTCAGCCCCCTTTTCTCTACAAGACGGGAGAAAGGATACAACTTGCTTGCTATTTTAATTAGGAATTGCTTGCTGAAAAGGAGAGCTCCAAAGAAGGCAAAAAGTTGATAAATGGTGTCTGCCATACTGTAATACACCATCTTCCATACAAAAGAGTGATGGGATTATGAGATTAGCTACAATGCTTTTCAATACTTGGATTTGATTGCATATTACAAAGCATGAAAGGTTTGTATATTGTAATCTAGAGAGAGATGTAAGAATGTGGCTGGTCATTACTGAGAAAAGGTTTAGGCAGAGCCGAAGGAAAGGTGGCAGCTTTGTTTAGTGGGAGAGCATGTAAGTAATTTGTCTTTATGTGTTACTGAGAGCTTAAGGAAGACATGTTACTGAAGGTTAGATGCCGTTAAAGACTAAATAATGACCAGCAACTTGGCATGGGAGCAGCTCAAAGATGCTTTTCGCTAACACTGATGGTGGATGTTGAAGAGTTTGATAAAAACAGAAAATTCAGCAAATGATATTTACATATTGTCAGTGTCTGCTGATGTGTGAATCTATTAAAACTCTATTATGGTATTTTATATGGGGAATAGAGTTTGAGCTTTAGCTTTACAAACATGCAGATGGAGAACAATCAACAGTCAGTGCATGAGGGAAGCATTTGTTGTACTGACATTAACATATATCGTGACTGTGAGAGGCACATGCAGAGAACATCAGTATGATCGGGCCACCCTCCTCCACTATTCTGTTAACAAACATGATCAGATGAAAGGTCCACATCATTTAAAAGAAAGGTCTTAAAATCAGGAAAGTAATCAATTTTTACGAAAGGTTATGCCAACGAAGAACACAGTCTAGTATCAATCAAAAAGTATTTTGAAGCCTTCTACAATATGATGTAAATAGAAGCTTAGCATCCCACATTTTAGTTGAAATAGAAATTGAGAGATCAAGGATAGGATACAGAAGTGTCATTCATTTCAAGTGCTAAAGAAATGGATCTCCATTTACAGTTTTATGAAAATTGGTAGACCTTTATGAGGTTATTATATCACGAAGATCCTCCTAAATAAAATCTTCCTTTTATGTTAGAAACTACACCCGGATGTATATTACTAAAATCCGAGAGCATTTATGACCTTAAAAAGTAACTTGACAGTGCTGCCACTTCACTCTCACTGATGACATCATCACTGAGAACATTAGTACAACCATTGTTAAAAGAGATCAAACAGGTTCTACAAAATATCCCACTACCACTACATTGGCTTTCATAACACGTGTTGCCATTGTCATCCTCACTGCAAATTTCAACCACTTTGCCACCAAGATTTTACTGTCAGTATGAAATATTGAAATCATCTCCTTCACTAATAGCAGATAAATTCACAGCTTCCACGCCCTATAACATTATCTTCTACACTATCGTCAAACCCTATTTTGCATGGATACGGGTGTAGGTGCGGACACGAGATAAGACAAATTTGTAGAAGGTGACGCATCTATATACACATTGAAATTAATAATTTATATGGGATCAATATTGTTTTTACATTCACATGCAATGAGAACTAAAATCCCTATAAAAAAATTCTTTTTTTATTCACTAGATTATGAATTGAAAAACCGCTCGTTTTCAAACTAGATATCCAAACGACTCTTTAAAATTATAGTTATGAACTGGTATGGGCTGAAATGAATCTGACAAAGTTCAACAAGTTGTAGAAATTTGAGGTGAAACGTAAGACACACGTCATGTTTTAAACTAAAGCATGTATTATATAATTGAGTACACATATGAATAAATGTATGTATCTATTCAAGAAGTATCCAAGGAGCGTCAAACATGAATACAATAAGTGTTAGAGACACTGATACAGGAGCCCGGATGAAGTGTCCAAGTAACCTAGCACAAAACCTTCTGAATCCCCAAGTCCAATTCAGCATATTTCCTTGCTAACATCACTGCCTAGGACAGAGGTTGCATTACTACCTACAACAAAAATTTTAGTGGCTACCATAGATAGAAAAACAGTCCTAAATTGAGCATTTCTTTTTGTGACTGCATCTCCTTTACTGTTCTTGAAACAAATGTTTCATCACCAACCATGAACAATGATGATGCAGCTATCCCCTTCGTGAACTCATCTCTCGATCCAGCAACCAACTATACCAATGTTTGTTGTCCTAATTCAGAAAGCAATCTCTGGTAACACACCAGTCAGCAATAGCCTTTCATCACAAAATTATTTCTTTGCTTGCATTTTCACTAATTCCATCATTGCCTGTGAAGATGCAATGCTGGTTCCAACAAATATAAATCAAACATTAAGATCGATCACATTGAATTCATGGTTTTCTTGCCATAATCCCACATCAACCTTCATGTATTCTTTGGCCCTTGACGAAATTTTGATGGCCCTTCCTCTTTGGCAAGGACAGAGAACTATAGGAGGACAATTTTGGTGCACTACAAGTTCATTTAAGGCCATACAAAAGTTCATAAAAAAATTTCTAGAGGTGAAGTTAAGCAAAATAGATTTGATTTTATTTCTATAACTTTTGTTTGATTTCGCACATTGGAATCTTTTCAAGAGTTTTTTTTTAATAACTATCTGTATCTACTCTCTTAGGTTCCAAGCAAAGTGTTCTGTGACATCTTAGCTTTCTTTGTTTAATTAGGTAGAACGATGTTGAATATGGGTCTGGACTGTTGTGATTTTTGATTGAGAACCTGAGATGACTAAAACCCTGTTTTGATAGTATACGCCCACAGAAAACATTTGAAGCCTTTGATTACCCTAATCACCTAACAAATATGTTTTGCATATTTTTTTTCCCTTATTTGGACCTTGTATGTTCCTGCTCTCCATCAGCTACTAAAGAAGTATTATGGATAACACGAACTGAAAGATTACAAGACTTTCCCCATTAGCCGACAACTCCAAGCAAAAATTACTTTCAATCAAATTGGAATATAAACTAATAATCAAGATAGATGTTGTTGCCATGTGAAAGGATAAATTTACACAACACTCGCTTATCAACCATCGAAACAATCCTTCTCTCTTTTTCCCTTGCTTGTCACAATGACATCAACCGCACATCTAGCCAAGTCTTCAAAGGAGAAAAGGTAAAAGTCAAAGAAGGAAAGAGCTTATGTAAGTCCTAGCCAAATCTAATCAGAGTCTACTATAAATATCATCTGACATGGCTCGATATGTTCTTTTATAATGTTTGCTGCAATACAATATGATTCAAATATCCTATGCTGTTTTTGGCAATTTTTTGGGTGATATATCAAGATGTTCCGGATATTATCTAGCCACATTTCAACTTCAAAAAAGTGTTTGCTGTTGCAACAGCAGTTTGTGCTTTTATTTGTTTTAAAGAGCATGTTTTAGGGACCATGTTTGGATATTATCCGGCCACTGCATTATATATTAAAAAAAAAAGGAGTTGGTTGAGACCAAATTCTTTTGCAAGAGTTCTGCATCTCTTTCAGTTCCCAACCATTTACCTCGAGATGGACCGTGTTGCCGCATCATTGTCTTTGTCATGGATTGCCACACAAATAAGCCTCTTCTCTTCCTTGACTGCTTGTTGGTGGTAAGTTTCTCTCTCCCTAAATCTCTCCTCTTTTAAATCTCTCTTCTCACTTTCATCACGAATGCTATGTTACGTTTGGCTCAGAATATGTCTAAAAGGCATAACTTGGATTCTATATGAAATATGTTTAATGTTAGTACTATATGCCTGGAAATATCCTTAAATGGTTTTTAAGTGTTTAACATAAAAGAGCTACTACCTTCTTTACAGCTCCACCCTTTGATGCATCAAGTTGTACATATATGACATGTGCAAGCACTCTCCAGTCTCCAGTATGAACACCAGCATTTACTAAATATTCTCAATATATGTCATTCAGAAGGGACTAGACAAAGCTTATACAACATATCCTTGATATCTGTTATTTAGAACACTGATATCTAGTGAGACTAGACAAAGCTTATACAACTAACACCAGTGTTGTAATAGAGTCGATATACCTAGTAAGAAGTTGAATAAGGTTATGGACTTCTCATGAATGGTTGTAAGAACCCCTCTCTTCCAATTATTCACATTTATTGTCATCCAGCATTCTTAACAATTAACACTAAGCATTTTTCGTAAGATCAATCTTAATTTAGACAAACTATCATGAACTTTTCGTCTGAGTAATATAAGCGCGTCGAATATTATCTATGTAAGAGTCAAATCAAGATGTAAACAATTTCTCTCATTTATTCCCATGGTAGCAAATAAAGGAAAATATATCATACCTGAAATGCACTGCGAAGAACTGCGCTCTCTGAAACAATGCCCTTTTTTCAATCAGTTGTGATTAGAGAACCCTACAAAGACTCAATTTCGTCTTTGCCTGTAGGAATAACTCACATATATCTCTACAATGTCCAATCAAGATTCCACCTTGCTCAACCCCATAATGCCCTAAATTTAGCCCCTTCAGCTTCTGCGACTATCTCCAAACCCTAAAAAATCCGAATATTTGCAGAGCTTTAATTGCCAAGATCAATTTTCTCTAAGAAACCAATATTGAACTTGTAAAAGATTAATAAAGGGAACACGAAATCTAATTGGAGATTCATATTTCATTATCAAATAATTTCTCAATACAAACCTTGATGCAATTTCAACGCCAGAACGAATTATTCCAAAAAAAAAAGAGCAGGAATCGGCGGGGGCATTATTCTGATGAATCCCGAGCTCTAATCCAAATTCTAACACTCGATCAGACGTTTGAAGCAGCTCCATTGAAACCGTTAATCCCTTTTTTTGTGCTTTTCTCCTCTTTTTACCCATCTTTTTCCAGGGTTTTTGTTCCCATCCTCCCCTTCCCTTTTTCTTGGATGGAGATTTGTAAGACGATTAGGCGGTAATTTTGTCTCCCCATGCTCGCAGCGTGTGGTACTTTTTAGGGCTGGTTTGGATTGAGGGGAATGATGCTGAAGGGAAGTTAGGGGAACATTCATCTTCATTCATCTTGTTTGGTTAATTCACTCTAGTTTTTATTGGTTCACCCCTAAGGCTGCGTTTGGCAAGGGGTTAAGGAGAAGGGATTAAAGAGAAGGGTTAACTTATGGCCTGTTTGGATTCGTAGGGGGTGAAGGGAAGTTAAGGAAAACTGAGTGAAGGGAAGTGAAGGGAAAGGAAGGGAATTGAATTCCCTTCTCCTTGGTTACACCCCAATTTGGGGGTAACAATTTTTATACTATTAGGGGGTGAACCAAGGTGAATGGAGGTGAATTAACTTCACCTCCTAAGTGTTCCCAAACAAGGTGAATGGAGGTGAATGGTTCCCCTAACTTCCCTTCACCCTCATTCCCCTCAATCCAAACAAGCCCTTAGTTAATCCATCGTGAAGGGTTAAAAAAATTCTAAATCCGTTTGGATACGATAGTTAAGACAAGGGGTTAAGTCTTTTGTGTTTGGCAAATGGAGAGGGGTTAAGGAGATTAATCTTATTATTTTTTAAAAAAAATACCACTTTCGCCCCTATTGAAAATTTATAAATAATTATCTCATCAAAAATGAAAAAAATTAGAAAAACTTTGGACATTCATACCTCATGGTAATTCTTCAAATATGTGACAATCCACTGTCTCATTCACCAACACAATCAAATTGTAACAAAAAAGAGCTCAGATTAAATCTAGTTAACAATACACTGTCTCATTCACCACCTCAATCAAATAAAAAGCCAAGAGGAGCTCAAGTTGCATCTATTTAACGATCCGCTGCCTCATTCTCTAACCCTAGCCTCAAACGCACCGAAAAAGCCCCACAAATCCAAACGTAGAACTACAAATTCTTCAAATAAACCAAATTACAAGGAAAGCGAGCTCATCTTACACCTTTCCGAAGATCCGCTGCCTCATTATCGAAAAATCATCACCAAAACCCCCAAATTCAAACCCTAGGACTACAAAACTCATAAAATAAACACAGTTCTGAAAATTAGTAAGAAGTTCAACACCGTAGATATATGGCTAAAAAAACTTTCAATATTCTTACATTTTTGTAGCGTTCGTAAGCATAAAATTGCTGATGGAAGAGTAAGGCAATCGATGAGCAATCGTAACCAAGTTTCCTCTCCAGAAAGCTCTAAACCCTTCTTCACAAGCAATTCGGGAAGCCTCGCGCCATATACTAGCATTTCTTAGAGCCACAGCATCGGCGTGCATCCCTTGCACCTGAAGAAGATGAGTAATCAGGGTCATTAATCTATCTTTAAGAGTCTTGACTGAAATATCCAGTAACCAATTGCAATTAATCACCCAAATGACACTAAAAACAGTATCTTTCCCCAAAATACAACTGAATCTTTCCCTGTAAATCTAATACAAAGTAGAGAGCAGTGCATTTTCAGGCTTATGATTGAGACCTAGGCGTTAACCACCAAGAACGAATCTTTATACCTGAAAGAGGATGGTGAGGCGAGCGAGCGGAGCAGTGCAAGTTTTGCTCACAGCTCCGGCGACTCCTCCGGCCAAGAGATTGGTAATCGTCCCGATCTGAGCCTGTTGCTGATTGGGCGTCGAGTATTTAAGACCGCCGCCACCTCCATGGACGGAGCTTAGAGCCCTATCGCAACTGTTGCCTCCGTCTGCATCATGTTCTGTGAGTTCCAACCCTCGATTCCTTCGAACTCGTAGCTCAAATTTCGCTGCCTAATTCCCCTAACGAGACCCAAATAAAAAAATCCTGCCCCCTACCCTCGCGTGAGAAGGCGGAACAAGTCTTGTTCCGCCTTCTCACGCGGAATAGTTGTCCCTTCTTTTGACGGGATAACTGGGTTAACAGTGTCACGTGCGGGTTTATTACCCCTTCTCTTTTTTTTCTGTTTGGTAGGCTAATGGAGGGTTAAACCCACTTAACCCTCCATTTATCCTCTTGCCAAACGCAGCCTAATAGTATAAAAATTGTTACTCCAAATTGGGGTGTAATCAAGGGGAAGGGAACTCCATTCCCTTCCCTTCCCTTCCCTTCTCTCAGTTTCTCTTAACTTCCCTTCACCCCCTACAAATCCAAACAGGCCCAGGATTTGTTTCCCCCTGAATCCAAAACTCACTTTTTCACTTTCCCTCACTTTTCAAAACCCACTTTCCTTCATTTTCTCCATTTTCCTCCTATAATATTATGACAACTCATCCCATCACATCTCATTTCATACTTTTAAAAATAAACAAAACACAAGAAATTGACAACTCATCCCATCACATCTCATTTCATACTTTTAAAAATAAACAAAACACAAGAAATGAGTCACATCAATCAACTCATCTAACTCACTTTCCCCCACTTTTCTTTATTTTCTATCATCTTTAAAGATTACTCACATCATCCAATAATATGGTGACAACTCATCACATCTCATTAAAATTTCTTTCCATCACTTTCCTCCAAAAAAACAAGAAAATTGATTTTCCTAAGTATGTGCCATATCATCCAATAATATAATAACAACTCATCTCATCTCATCTATTTTCCCCCACTTTTAAGAATGAACCAAACACAAGAAAAAAACCTAAATAAGGAAAGTGGAGGAAAACAGCAAAAATTACTCACATCAACCAATAATATGGTGACAACTCATTTTCTCCCCCACTTTCGGTTATAGCTTTAACGAACCAAACCTCTGAAAGTGGAGGAAAACATCAAAATTCACCTTCTTTTTCCCCACTTTCGGTCTTTTTTTGTGAACCAAACAGGCCCTTAGCAAGCGCCCATGAATTGTCTGTGCTCGGTAAGGCCCTTAATGAGCCGGATAGGTTTAGCCCTACCTTGTCATGGGACAAAAGTTCATTTAACGGGTCGGGCTGAGATGGTCTCTTTAGAAAGTACGGGGTGAGGAAGCAAAATGAATTATAAAGGATTAATTAAGGGCGGTTTGGAAATTCTAGATTATGAGTCTGTTTGGATTTGTAGGGGGTGAAGGGAAGTTAAGGAAAACTAGGTGAGACAATGGAAGGGAAGGGAAGGAAGTTCCCTTCCCTTGGTTACACCCTAATTTAGGGGGTAACAAATTTTATATTATTAGAGGGTGAACCTGTTAGAATATGTGAAGCCTAACTATCAGACATGCCCTATACTTCAGAATGAAGAGGAACAAAGTGGAACAGGAGAAACATGATCGACGACGACGAAGTTCAAGCAAAACAACGAAGGGCGCATTTTTGACTGAGTCGCAGTCGACCGCCGGCACAGACAAGCACATTGCTGAAGGAGGCTAGGCTTCGCGCGTCGACCGCGCATGGTACGGCGGTCGACCGCGCAAAGTTCAGAGAGCTACCATCAGCAGGAGGCTTCGTCGCGGTCGCCGCGGGCGCAGGACCGCCAAAACTCCAAAGACTCTGATTAGGAGAAGGATTCGTCACGGTCGACCGCGCGTGGTGCGGCGGTCGACCGCGAGTCGGGTTTTGACCCCAGTTACAGTTTTTGACATGTTTCCTTTTCTATTTGTAAAACCCTTATGTCTATAAAAGGGTTGATTAGGGCATGATGTAAAAGAGACGAAAATAGTGAAATTTTCTCCTGCGGCGACCTTGGACGTAGTTTCTCACATTGAGAAGCGAACCACGTAAATCTTGTGTGTTTGTGATTGATTGAATTCTCTCTTCTCTTCTAAATCTCTATTTCCAAATCGCATCAGGGGGGTTGTGCATCCCCAACAAGTGGTATCAGAGCGACTAGGTTCGGCGCGAGCGATTTAAGGTCAGAGACATAGGATCTAAGAAGAAAACATCCAAGATTGAGAAGTTTGAAGGAACAAACTTCGGGTTCTGGAAGATGCAGATGGAAGACTACCTCTATCAGAAGGATTTATACCTATCATTGGGAGAGAAGCCGACGGATATGAAGGATGCGGATTGGAAGCTATTGGATCGAAAGGCCCTTGGAGCGATCAGGTTGACCTTGTCTAAATCAGTAGCGTTCAACATCAAGAATCAGAATACGATGGCGGATCTCATGGCGGCGTTGTCCAGTATGTATGAGCAGCCCTCTGCAGCAAGAAGGTACATCTCATTAAAAAGCTGTTTAATTTGAGGATGTCTGAGAGCCAGAAATTCAAGGAACACCTGAACGAGTTTAACGAGATCACAGATCAACTAAACTCGGTCAATATTCAGTTTGACGATAAAATCCAAGCCCTCTTGATACTTGGTCAATTACCCAACAGTTGGAAGGGTACCGTTATCTCGATTAGCGGATCATGTGGCAAATCAAAACTAAAGTTTTCAGAGGTGGTGGACATGATTATGACTGAGGAGATTAGAAGACAAGAGGAAGGGATTTCTAATTCAGGTTCGGCGTTGAATCTTGAGAGCAGAGGAAGAAACAAAAACAAAAATAGAGGGAATAGCCGAGGAAGACCTAACTCGAGGAACGGGAGGTCAAAGTCCAGAAATCGCAAGAGCAAGAAGGAGATCGATTGCTGGAATTGTGGCAAGTTTGGCCACTATGAGAATCAGTGTCGATAACCTAAGAAGGACAAGGAGAACAAGATTGAAGCGAACGTGACCTCAGGAGAATCAGATGATGCCCTAATCTGTTCGTTGGAGAGCAAGACTGAATCGTGGGTGCTGGATTCAGGAGCTTCGTTTCATGTTACCTCAAATAGAGATTTATTTGAGAACTATGTTTCAGGAAACCTAGGAAAAGTCTATCTTGGTGACGATCAACCATGTGATATTGTTGGCAAAGGAGTCGTGCAGATCAAGCTCAATGGGTCTATATGGAAGCTGAGTGATGTGTTGGCAAAGGAGTCGTGCAGATCAAGCTCAATGGGTCTATATGGAAGCTGAGTGATGTGAGACATGTTCCCAGCTTGAGGAAAAATGCAGATCAAGCTCAATGGGTCTATATGGAAGCTGAGTGATGTGAGACATGTTCCCAGCTTGAGGAAAAAATCTGATTTCCATAGGACAATTGGCAAAAGAGGGATATGTATCAACTTTCGCATGTGATACATAGAAGGTTACAAAGGGGTCCATGGTTGTTGCCCGTGGTACGAAGACAGGGTCCCTCTACATGACGATAGATGCACGTGGTTTCATTACAGTGGTTGAAAGTAAGGAAGACCCAAATTTATGGCACCAGAGGCTAGGTCACATGAGTAGCAAAGGCCTAAAGGTTATGCAGTCGAATGGAAAGTTACCAGGTTTGAGATCGACCGATATTGACTTATGTGAAAGTTACATTCTTGGGAAACAAAAGAGAATAAGCTTCAAAAGGGTTGGCAGAACTCCTAAAGAAGAGAAGCTAGAGTTAGTTCACACAGATGTGTGGGGTCCAGCATCAGTACCATCCACCGGCGGAAGGTTATATTTTGTGACCTTCATAGATGATCACTCGAGGAAGACTTGGGTTTATTTCATGAAACACAAATCAGAAGTGTTTAAAGTCTTCAAGAGATGGAAGGCTATGGTAGAGAACGTGACCGGTTTGAAGATCAAGAAGCTTCGTTCTGACAACGGTGGCGAGTATGAAGACTCAGAGTTCAAGAGGTTTTGTTATGACAGTGACATTAGATTAGAAAGGACAGTGCCAGGTACACCCCAACAGAATGGCATAGCAGAACGGATGAACAGAACATTGACTGAGAGAGCCAGAAGTATGCGGTTACAAGCAGGTTTTTCAAAGCAATTCTGGGCAGAATCAGTCAACACAGCTGCCTACTTGATCAACCAGGGACCATCAGTGCCTTGGGAGCACAAAATACCCGAAGAAGTATGGAGTGGAAAGCAAGTAAATCTTTCTCACCTGAGAGTATTTGGATGTGTTTCATACGTTCATCTGAGTGATCATGCAAGAAACAAACTTGATCCTAAGTCTTTGAAATGTTTCTTTGTTGGCTATGGCGGTGATGAGTTTGGCTACAAATTCTGGGATGAGCAGAACAAGAAAAAAATCAGAAGCAGGGATGTGGTCTTTAATGAAACAGTCCTCTACAAAGACTGTGATGCCGTTCAGTCCACTAGTTCGGTGCAGAGTGATCCCACATACTTCGAGTCAGATGATGCCTCAGATGGAGGCAATCCCGAAGCTAGTTCTGATGAAGAAGAAGAGTTGATGGATGAGACTACTTCAGAGGGTGCAGATGAAGATGGAGATCCTGTTTCGCCCGTCAGAGAGTTGAGGCAGTCAGCTAGAGTCCCCAAGCCTAATCCAAAGTATCCATCACTACAGCTAGAGCTCATCTCAACTACCTATTATTGAGTGATGGTGGAGAGCCAGAAAGTTATGATGAGGTACTTCGAGTGGATGATGCGAGCAAGTGGGAGCTCGCCATGAAAGATGAAATAAAATCCTTAAACACCAACAAGACATAGGAACTTGCGAAGCTACCAACGGGGAAAAAGGCCTTGAGCAACAAATGGGTGTACAGAATCAAGGAGGAACATGATGGTTCCAAGAGATACAAGGCCAGATTGGTGGTTAAAGGATTTCAGCAGAAAGAAGGAATTGATTACACAGAGATCTTTTCTCCTGTAGTCAAACTGACTACCATCAGAACAGTCCTGAGTATTGTTGTAGCTGAAGATTTACATCTCGAGCAGCTAGATGTAAAGACAGCTTTCCTTCACGGTGATCTAGTGGAAGAGATATATATGCAGCAGCCAGAGGGGTTTACTCAGAAGGGAAAAGAGGAGATGGTATGCAGATTGAAGAAGAGCTTGTACGGCCTGAAACAAGCTCCAAGGCAATGGTACAAAAAGTTTGATGGATTCATGCACAGGAACGGTTACTCCAGGTGCAATGCTGATTACTGTTGCTTTGTCAAGAAGTTTGACAACAGTTACATCATCCTGATTTTATATGTCGACGACATGCTAGTAGCCAGTTCAGACATGAGAGAGATCAAGAAGCTGAAGAAGCAGCTGTCGAGTGAGTTCGACATGAAGGATCTAGGCGCAGCGAAGCAGATATTGGGAATGAAGATCACTAGAGACAAGCTCTTGGGCACACTGCGGCTATCTCAAGCCGAGTACATTAGGCGAGTGCTTGAGAGATTCGGGATGAGTGGTGCTAAGGCCGTTAGCACACCGTTAGCTAGTCATTATGTCTGTGGCAAGTTCCATATGTATTGTTGATACTTACCTGTATCACTCTTGTTTATGTGTTAGTGTTATTCAATTTGTAGATAGTCAAGTTTATAATTCATCAATTTGCTGGCACTAGGGACTCTTTTGCTTCCGCTACCTTTTTGACTTTAGAAGCTTTACATTGGGCTGTCCATTGTACTGCTGTATCTATATTTCTTATCTGATCTTAACATCTTTAAGTTATTTAAGTTTGTTAATACAAGAAAGTAATTTTACCAATCAATTGTTTTGTCATCTTTTTCTTTGGTCACTTACTTTCTTAGCAACACCATTTCATAGGCAAGGTTTGTGCACCAAGATAAAAATCCTGGAGATCCAGAAGCTGCTGACAAATTCCAGGTGAGCAAAATACTCTTATATCATTTGTCCTCTACATTTTTATCAAAATATTCCTTTCTGAAAATTTATGGTTATTGATTTTTATAGAAATAGAAGGTATTGGACTTGCTCGTTTTCTGTGATACTTTTCACCCAATTGAGAAAGCAAAATGCTTGATACCTGGACATCATAGGTGCGCAAGTTACTTTTTTTCTTTTTCTTTTCTTTTTTTGTAGATGGGAACAAAGAGGTTGCAGATTCCTCACAGTTAAAAATTTGTTCGTTTCTAGTTATTAATTGTGAGCAACGTGCAGTGGAAATACACATTGTATTTGCAGATTTCTGAGAGATTCTGAATAGTTCTATTTTCTAAGGTCTAAAAATTTCTGCTGGTGCTTCACATGTCTGGATTCTGACCCCAGTGCCTTTCAACAAAGGTTTGATGCTGCTCCAGACCCTGAAGGAATATGAAACTAAAAATGGTATTAGCTCGCTGCTACAAACCAATTCACAACTAATAAATCATTTGTCCAGATCATAGGATTGAATTTGAAAAGATTACACCTTAGACAGTGTTTTGTTCTCCGCCATTTTACTTTCTTTTACCACTAGTAGAAAACAGGGTATTGGCGACGGGGAAATCCGTCGCCAATGCCCCAAAATCCGTCACAAATACATATTGGCGACGGGCTTCTTTCCGTCGCCAATAAATCCGTCGCCAATAAGTATTGGCGACGGGTTTACCCGTCGCCAATACTTATTGGCGACGGACGACTATTGGCGACGGATTTCTTTGGCGACGGATTACTTCCGTCGCTAATAAACATTGGCGACGGGGTAATCCGTCACCAATGTTTAAACATTGGCGACGGATTACCCTCGTCGCCATTAAACATTGGCGACGGGGTGATCCGTCGCCAATGTTAAAACATTGGCGACGGATTGCCCCGTCGCCAAAAAACATTGACGACGGGAAAATCCGTCGCCAATGTTTTAACCATTGGCGACGGGTATCTACCCGTCGCTGATGTTTGAAACATTAGCGACGGATTAATCCGTCGCCAATGTGTATTAGCGACGGATTTCCCCGTCGCTAATGGTTTTAAACATTGGCGACGGGTATATCCCCGTCGCCAATGTTTAAAACATTGGCGACGAATTTTCCTGTCGCCAATGTTTATTGGTGACGGGAAATCCGTCGCCAATGTATATATTTACGCCAAAAAAAAATTTAAATTCTGGTAGCCTCTCATACGAGAGAATACACATATAACCTGTATCAACATCAATTCAATGACAATATTTACCAACATATCATAAAATCAATCATGATATTCATTCACATTCCAAATGAATACTCATTCAATTTCATCCATCAATCCACAATATCGAATAATACTCATCATATATCACAATCACAATATATCTCACATGCTCAAATAATATTCATTTACTACGCAATAAAATCATAAATATATTACATATATGTAAAATCCAAAAGTCATAATATGTATTAACACACAAGTATCACTCATTCCTCGTCGTTGTCGGCATCCCTGTTATCAGCATCGTCTGCATTAGAACGTCGTATCGTACTGCTGCTCTCTACGGGAGTACCTCCTCCAACCTGAAAAGAACATATTTTAACGATCACAAATAATTACACCTCTATTGATTAGATTACAAACGGTTTATTCCCTATAAAAGCCATTTTTTTCATTTTTACAAACTGCGCATACTCGCTGATTCTGGGCAAGATTACAATCATACAGGTTACAGTTTGTTTAAAAAAGTCCTATAACCCATTTAAAAACCGGGGAATCCTACCTCTTTTAAAGACCAACACACCCATAGAGAAAAATGAAAAAGGAAAGCTAAAAGCATTATATGGAGAAACCATTAAAAAAAAGCTTTGGGCACCACCACTCAGCGACATGCAGGAACCTGATTCAAAGCTAAGAACATGCTGGGAATGCTAATACACTTCAATTGCACCGACATGCCAGAAAAATGTTCGAGGAAATGAAGGATTTGAGAACATAACAAAGAATAGCCCAGAAGCAAAGCAAATATCCAACATTGGAAAAACAAGTTGCTAAGGTAGCAAAGCAAATAAATACAGAAGGATAATCCCAGAAGCACTCAAAACTACTAACAATAAAATAAAAAATAAAAAGAAATGAAAAGATATAATAATTTTTTTATCAATCAAATGAAAAAAGGAAGGGGAGAAAAAACGTCCCTTAACCCACCCTTCTTCCTTCAACAACTATCTTGCCACTCAACCAAATGTGAATTATTATGAGACACAGGAAAATTACCATAGAACAGCACCTACAATAACATAACTGGAAACTGGACAATACTGTGATTTATTATCAGTAGGAATTTATAAAATTGTGATGTTCGTATGTTCCATTTGCACTGATCAGAAGTGATGTTGTATGTTCCAAAATGCTTAAGCTTATGAATTATAGGTGAATAATGACAATGTTTATCAAGAAATATAAACATGTTGATGTTCATGAAAAGTATATCTACATGTTGATTAGAAGACGGTTTCATCTTTTATGACAGGATTACCAATAATAAGATATATATACCAAAAGTATCATAATAAATACATATATGTCACGTCATACATACCTCTTCATCACCATGAACTTCATGCTCATTAAACGCCAACTTAAATATCTCTAAGTATATCGACTCAGGAAGAATCTCCTTCAACGATGGACAATCACTGAGGCGCTGCACAACATCCCAAGTCGATTGTGCACCTCCTAGCTCGCGCGTAATAATGGGAATAAATTGAAAAAACATGGAGGGTTGAACATTGTCCATTAAATACCGTCCAATTTTAGCCACGACGTATGATGTCCCATATGGTCGCTTTGAGGTCACGGACGTGTTGTTTTGTATATTCCTGCTAGTGGAGACTGTCCTAACTTTTGCACTTGATAAAGGCACCCTCCCTTTCTTGATTGGTCTAGAGCCATAAACTCCATCAACAATTTCCCTCCACTGCTCTCTAGTCATGCGATTAGGATCGGTAGGAGTGTTCTCTATGCTCTGAGACTGGGACAAGACAAAGTCTTGTGAAGCTTCAAGCGCCTCCTAAATAGCAAATAGCAATAGAATATTCATATAACAAATAACAAATAGCAATAGAATAACAAATAACAAATATGTACATCAGGAAGAATCTTTCTATATGATTCACTATGTTTACTTGTCTTTTATGGTAAATTAGAGATTCAAAAGTATAGGGTGCAACCAACTAGGCAGTTCTGTAACTACTTTTGTAGGGTTAGTTAATGGTTAATGAAAACTAGAATGGGAATAACTCATGTAAAGTTTTCAGTCAATTAGAAATGGAACCAGAATAGAGTTTTAAGGTGTTACTCAAATGGAATTGGAACTTTAAGTCGGATAAGTTTTGAGAATTATCCCACTTTCCACTCCCCTTTTATATACACTCAATGCAGCTAATGTACTTAAGTATGTATGTGTTAAGACTACTGATTCGAAAATAAGGAACTCATAGTCTTCCTTTTGTGTAGTTGACTGTAAGCACACACAGACATACATGAAGACTACACATGTAAATATTAGTGAAGGCTCCAAGTTTTCCTATGTAATACTCGAAGTAAAAATCCTTCTAGACTGTATCAAGTCGTTAGTTCCCAATTCTGACCAATTTACTAGCAACAGTATAATCAAAGCTTGGGCAGAAAATAAAATAAAATAAAAATAAAAGTTGGTCACAGTTACTATCTGAGTATCCAAAAGATCATAATTTGTTTTGGTTCTCAGATAGGAAAAAATATGCAATACAGTCTATAACACGTTACAAATAGCATGAGATATTGAGATATACAATAGGAAAAAAATAGAAGTAAACCGACAATAAAGTAACTTCATCATATTATATGTAGGATTTCTATGTAGGTATTCGAACATTGATGAATTCTAATTAGAAATACATGTGTGCCAATATGAAATTAAGCTTATACTTACATGCATATCCTTAATTTTCGTCATCTTTTCCTCCTTATCATAGCCCTCGGGTGGTGCTAGCAAGAAGAGTTGGCGGCATAGTCAAGGCGTCCTATGATTAATCAAATTTCAAGTTATTTCTAATAACGTATGAAAATAGTAACATGAGTTGAGTTTTAATATTTTGATCTAACCGGATTTTCACGCAAATATTTATGCTCGATCCGAGCGTAGGGAGTAGCTCCTAGAAAGTGATCATATAGCTTTGCACCGCGATTAGCCGATGCTATCGAACATTTATCCTTCAAAATAAAGTAATTTTTCAGTATATGCGATGGTAATATAATGAATTAAAAATAACTCACCTTCTTCTCACCCTCCCACTCGATAATGAGAGTCATCCAATTATAAGGAGGAACCCTCTTATCAAGCTGATGAATCCGCTTCCAATCAATGGTTATATCTGTAAAGTATTGACTCTTAAGTCTACTCCTCCACCCCCGAAGCATCTTGCTCGCTCTACTCATTACGTAATCCCAAGAGTCCGGGTTGTCCTCAAGGCAATAGTGATTCTACGAATTAGGTGTGAAAAAAACATGCACTATTAAAAAATTAAATAAATATTTATTGAAAAAACAATATAATAAATAATTACCATGAGCCTCTCCCATATCTTCTTTATTCCATTCCATTGTTGTTCATCAAAGTTATGAGCGATGTTAATGTGGTGTGGGTCTCTGATTAAACAGCCGATCAAATTATTAAATCTGACGGCGTAATCTCCAACTGGAATGTTGCCCATCCACTCCAAAACGGCTCGATAACCTTTAGGAGGTACCTTCGTAAACAGATCACTGCCATGCCTACCGGCCTTCTCGTAGTCCTTGTTCCCTACAAAGACAAAGATAGAGATTTTTTTATAAACTTTAATAATTAAATAACGACAAAATCTCAATAGTTTACATGATATTCTTACCCATTTCCCTCAACTGATTTGACATCGCCTTTTCTAGTCTCTGCTTTATTATATGATCCTTGTTTTTAATGTCTTCTCTTCTCTTTTTATAGTTCCTATCACATTTCTTTTGTAATGTGATAGCCTTTTCTGGTAAGGGGATGGAATTTACTGCTTCAGTCCATGGACGGAGACATCCAATCTCCGATGAAGAAGATCCCGCGAAAGACTCGTGTTGGATCTCGTCATCACCGGATCCATCATGAGCATTGTCTGCAATATAAAATGTGAAATAAATATTTATATGGAACATAAAATATCCATGGACTTTAAAATTAATACCTAGATCAGGCGATGAATCCCGATGATGAGGTTGACTCATAGGTGGACTCATAGGAGATGCATGTGTATCTGTCCCCGCAATATCTACGAAAGTAATAAAAATAATATAGGTAAATAAGTTTCTCAATTAACTTAATGATATTAAATAAATTAATACCTTCAACGGGTGAGGATCCATGTAGAGATAATGGACTACTATAAGGTCGTGAGGACATTCCTACACGTAAAAAATATAATTATAAATGCGAAATATGCATATTTATATCACAAACACAATTTATTTGAACAAATTAATATTTATACCTGATGATGAATTTGCTTGATTGTGGGAAACTTCCCCTATGCGCTTTATCCTTCGGCTCATCTGCATCTTAAATGATTATTCAATTTATTGAAGCAAAATAAGTGAATGTTGAAAATTGCATTGACAAAATAAAAAATGTACATTAAAACGGCAAAGTTAATACTTTAAATTTTACAAGTACTAATATTTCGACATTCAATCTCCTACATTACGAATATCAAGCCGATTTTGCGGAGTATACATATTAAGATGGACATTTTGCGGGTATGAGTAATTAGGAAAAACTTCTCCTTCAGTCTCATTTGGATCATCAGAACCCTCTATGTTTTCTTCGAGAGAAAGTTCAACAAGAGTTCTCGGCTCCTTATACAAGGCGACCCAAACCTTCGGCTGCCTAGGATCTTTGACATAAAAGCACTGAGTAGCCTGCTTTGCAAACATGAACTTCAAATCGGAGTAAATCTCCTTGTCTAGATTTACAAGATTAAAGCCATATGCATCTCTTGTTATTTCAGCATGACACCATCAATTATATATTTTCAGAATTAGTCACAGAGTGATTCGTGGGAGGTTTTTGCCATCACGGTGTGATTAACTCACAAGTGTCTCGGCCTGGCCGAGCCACCTGGCCGAGCCAGCTCGGATCTGGGCCCAGATCTGGGCCCAGATCCGCTTTCAATGCCTATAAATAGAGGGCTGTAGGCTTATTTTTGAAAGGTTGGAACTTGGAGAGCCAAAACTCTGCCGAATTGAAGATTGAGCTCAGAGTTTTGAAGACTTGAGGACTTGAAGATTCAGATCTGATTCTCGGCGAGCGTCCACGTCACAAAAGGCAGGAGTTCGAGAGAGGTAAAGATCAGATCTGAGATCTACACGAAATCACACTCCGGATCAAAGCTTGGCCTTTGATCCCGAGAATTAAAGGCTACTATTTCCTTGGCGAAATAGTACCCTCGGCTGTTATTTCCTTTGCGAAATAATTCCCGTCGAATCGTGTAGATCCGACCGGATCTAGATCGCGCGGTGGTCCACGGATTAACCCCGGCGTCGGCAAAGAACCCACACAAGCAAGAGACCGCAAAACAGGATCTTGCGATTTGTTCAAAGGGAAAGTTGTAAGATTCGTTCGACACAAAAGGAGAAAGTTGTAATTTTCTTTATTTCTTGTGTTATTTGATTTTCGTTGTAACCGGATCTAAAAAAGACCGGATCTTTTGTAACCAAAAAAAATAGTTATTCAAGATGACAATGAATTCAATGAAGGCAATTTTCACCGCGAACAATCTGGCGACCACAGTGGGAGCCACCGATCTCGCTGCCGAGATCGTTGCGTCGCAGCCGTTCGAGGAGTACCTTTCGTCCTCGTCCGGATCAACCTCCCTCCGCAAGTCCAAGAAGCTCTCCTCCAGGAGAAAAGCTCGTTGGTTCGAAGAAGTTCAGAACGCCAACGAAGCTCTCACCCCGGCTGACGCCAAAGTTGCGCCGGGTGAAGTTCCACCGACCTCCAACGAGGTCAAACCTATTCTTGTCAACGCTTCTACTGTTGAAGGCGTTGTGACTCTCTCAAAGAGAGCCCGCCAGAGGCGACATCAGCGCCTTACGCGACAACTCGCTAAGATGATGGAGTCTACGGACGGAGTCCGCTACAACGCGGATCTGAAGAACAGGAGAGGCAAACAGCCTCAACAAACCATCTGGCGACTTTACCGATTTGAGCACCTCACAGAATCTTTGCATCTCAACCTTTGTCATCGTAATACGAGATGAGGGTAACTCAAATTTGCCGTCAGTAACTTCTCGTGCTTGCAGATCATGTCGGATGTTCAATGCATTCAAGTCTCATCGAGCCCGTAAATCGTCCTTTGATTTCTTACCATCCTGTAAGAGTGTGGACAACAGGTTGTCACATATATTTTTTTCAATATGCATTACATCTAGGTTATGCCGAATTTTGAGCTTTTGCCAGTACGGTAGCTCAAAAAATATACTAAATTTTGTCCATCCTTTTGGCAATTCCTCATCATGTGTCTCATCCGTAATGTTCACTTTTCTCTTTCGTTTCGGTGCCTTCTTCATAATGGAAATACGTCTTGGAGCTAGAATATCTTCTCTTGTATATCGACTCTTTCCAAACTTAATTTTAGGATATCCCTCAAATAATTCTACAATTTCATCTCCAGTCATTACATGCGGCTCTCCTCTTTTCTCTTCTTGGCCATCAAACTTATTCACCCACTTTTTACCTCTATATTTATGTCCTTTACGTAACCATCTTCTGTTAAACCAATAACACATCTTTCGACTGTGTTGTAAATGAAAGCCTTCAAAGTTTGGACCACATACGGGACAAGCAAATGTTCCTTTCGTAGACCAACCGGAGAGATTAGCATAAGCTGGAAAATCATTAATGGTCCACATAAGAATAGCACGGAGATTAAACGTTTGACGGGAAAATGCATTATATGTTTGGACCCCCTCATCCCAGAGAAGTTTTAACTCATCAATTAATGGCTCCATGAACACATCTATGTCATTACCGGGTGAGTGTTTGCCTGGTATCAGCAATGAAAGGATCATATACGGTTGCTTCATACAAAGTCCAGGTGGTAAATTATAAGGTATTAACACAATTGGCCAAGTAGACCAACCTGAACTCATAATGCCAAACGGGTTGAATCCGTCACTAGATAGACCGAGTCTAACATTCCTGCACTCTGTGGAAAACCAAGGAAAAGATTGATCCACATGCTCCCATGCGTCTGCAATAGGGGCACTTCTTTCATAAAGCTACAATAGGGGCACTTCTTTCATAAAGCTATGTCATGTAGAACATGTATATTGAACTTCCTTGTTCGTTTTAATAGTGTTATTGTGTGTCAATATGTTTAAACCAGTGACTTAAATTTTAATCATCTATTATAATCTGGTTTGTAGAATGGAGATTTATTGTTAGTTTCACAGCATATGAACATGTAGAGTGTGTTATGACTAATACAATGGAGATTTATTGTTAGTTTCACAGCATATTCCACGGCTTATTCATATATGCTTCTTGTTGTTTATTATAGGTGCTTGGGGAGGCTTATCAGGTTTTAAGTGATCCTGGAAAACGTGAGACATATGATAAGCATGGAAATTAGAAAGCAAGGCCTTTCACGGTAAGTTCACAAACTAAAGTTGAAATGTACTGTCTATTGGGATGGAATACACATTTAATGTAATATTGACATCTTTCTCTATTTCATGATAAGAACCCGATAGCTTTTTCGAGGTCATCTTGATATGCTTGTGTAACTATCATTAGTTCTGAAACCAACAGAAAGATACCTATTAATAGAATGTTCATGCTTTAACACTCCCATGGATCAAGGACTCAATGGTGGATCCTTCTTCTGTATTTGGGATGCTTTTTGGAAGTGAACTATTTGAAGATTATATATGTTGGTCAATTGGCTCAGGCAAGCGTGGCAGCCGTGGAAATCGATGAAGAATCATAAGTCCAGAAGTAAAGAGCCTACAAGTTGAAGAGAGGATTAAGGTATCCTACAACAATAATGATATAATAAATAAACTGTTTATAAAGTAATTTATAACTTTCTTGCCTTTCTAGATTGTTAAGTGTTACCCTCCTCCTTCCCTCTCAGTAGGCATGGGCTTTTTTTAGAATTTTTTTTGTCTCCATGTCCATGAGCTAGTTCCTAAAATATCATTTTGATGTTGATGGTTTTCTCTCAAATTACAGGCGTTACAAAGAGAAAGAGAAGAGAAGTTTATCGAACATCTCATAAAGCGCCTACAGCCATGTGTTGAGGGTAAACTAGATGAATTTGTTAAATGGGCAAATTCTGAGGCCAGTCGTTTGTCACGAGCAGGTAGACCTAGTTTCCCTTATCCATACTTAACACAAAAGTTTACTTATTAATTTTGGGCTCTCCATCTGTTCCATTTCTTCACAAGACGATTGAATCTTTTCTTTGAACCCATTTCATGCTATCATTGTTTATATGGGAAGTTTTGGAATGTCCTGAAGATTGATCATACTATGAACTATTTACAAGAGGACTCCAAAATGATCCTAAGTAGTTGAGGCGAGGTCTTGTACTCTTATTGTTGCTGATGCAGTCAAATTGTCGTTATTCTGCTCTCATCTTCCTCATTGTAGTTTGTTATACTGGTAATAAGTGAGTGAGGGTGTTGGCATTGCTTATTGGTTATTAAAAAAAAAAAGTGTTCTGTGGAATTCTGGATGTTTGGGTAATCGATTCGAGAAAATACTTTTAAGAAGAGCAAAATGCAAAACCAAGAAAGCACAAAAAAAAGTAGCATGGAGAAGTCAGATTCTTTGGCTTCTCTCAACCGTGGAAGCGGAAATCCATTCGGGTAATGAATCATATCTAAACTTCTCTCTTATTTTATACTCTCCATTTTTGCCTCATAGACCTTATCTAAACGTTCTCTCATATATCCATTCTTATCTAAACTTCTCCAAACAAATATATTTTACAATATTTAACTTTCTTGTAGGTACCTAAATTTGAAGGTTAAGAACATCTTATCCTTATAAAATATTTTCTTAAAAGTACTTTTGGAGAAGTCCTTCTACAAAAGAACTTATCTATAAGCAAAAGCTAAGCCAGGTATACCCTGACTTTTGTATATACTGTTTAACCATGTGCAGCCTCTTGTTTATTTTAGAAAAATGCATGTTTGTATAAGCCAGATAATATGCATCAGTATTCATTTGTTATCTTGTGATTTATGAACTTTGTTACAGTTTACCAAATGCATAGGTTAGTGATATAAAACCAACATTGAAGGTTATCATACTAAATATGGTTAAATAAGAGGTAAAGTATAAGAAGTTAATACATAATTTATTAAGTATCTTTGTATGTGTTCTAATGTAGGGCTCTATATTTGCTACCTCTTTCTGTGTTACACAAATCGGAGCCCAATGATCTCTACTACATGTACACAACCTTAACCTGTGAGTTTTTCCAAGACCATCATAACCGGAATCTTCCACCTGTGCATAATGTTCCATGACATAGGTATTTGGTCCCGTTAGATGCACAAACGCACATGTTAAAGAGCGTTTCTGTTAATTTGTATCCATCTAAAACAGAAATAGCTCTCCAAGTTTAGCCTATTGTTTAAGTTGTTTGGTTTAGTAGTGCTTGAGGCATGGTAATTTTTATACTGATAGCAATTTCTTCCCATATGGAAGTTCTAATGTGTTAATAACATAAAGTGTGCACATTTCAAATTTATATGTGCTCTTATTAGTTCTGAACAAAGAGGATTTGAGCTAAATCCTGCCAGTATATTCAGCAATATGAGCTCGCTCTGATTGAATGGCTAATTGGTAGGGTGCAGATGTGCAGCTGAAGAAATTCCTAAGAATAAAAGATTCTACTCAGATTTTATTATGCTCTATGTACTACTAATACCATGTGAATAAATTCTACAAAAACAAGTCATAATCTATTTTTTTTTTTAGAGGAAAAGGATGGGATAACACACAGAAGCCCCTGTTGCGCGCAGCGGAAATTTCGGCAGCACTTCGGCAGCACAACAAGAGAGTCAGGTCGCAATAAGAATTCTTGTTTCTCAAAGGGAACAAGAATCCGAAGCCTAATACCTCATCAAAGTGAGATATTAGCTCTTCCTCTCGTCAGTTCTAGGACTGCGCGTCGAGGGAACCTAAAAAGCTATTACAAATCACCCAAATAGCAGAACAACCAATTTTACGTGGTTCGGCAAATTGCCTACGTCCACGGGGCAAGGAGGGGGGAGATCTACTAATAGAGGGAGATAATATAACTAGGGTTTACAATCACTCACAACTAAAACCCTCAAACAAACTCTCAGATCCCTCACAATATCTCTCTACAAAAGGCTACACAAAACCCTAAAAGGGACTACACAAATCTCCTCAACTGCAGCCGCCGGCCTTGCACGCACCTGCCTTGCTCTCAAAAATCGCCTGCACTCGGTTCTGTACCGCAGCCGCAAAGAAAACAAATCACAACCTCCTGCGCTTGTTTTCCCCCTCTGCAATTGGTGAATTTTTCTCCTCTGCCGGCTTGCACACGCAACCTCCTTTTCACCGCCTCCTGCACAAAAGACCTAGGGTTTTATTTCCGCGTGCATTTATAAGCACGAATTGTGAACTCGGGTGGGCCTGCGGTTTCGGTTTTTGCTTCCAGCTCTTCACGCGTTTCTTCACGCGTTTTGCTCCCGCAGGCAATCAATTGAAAAGGAACAATCAATTGAAAAGGAGATCTCTTCACAAGGACGTGGCCCATGTGGCCCCCACTCACGCCTCCCAACAATTCTCCACCTAGGTGAAGTTTTCCCAAAACTGAGCCGATATCAACCAAAACAAATGCCTCACTTGTTGTGTCCAGTACACCGTGAAACAATTCACGACAACAGACTCAATCCATAACAAGTCGAGAACCCAAATGAGAATGCAAACACTCTCCAAATGTCAGTATCAACTCACCAAATCGATCTCACTCCCATCAAATAATCCAACCCGGCTGCATCATAAAGATTGCCTACGTATCCTCTTGCCCAAGGAATCAAGCCGAACGTAGTTCACCCAAATGGCCGCTAACGACCTCAATCCAATAGAAGAGTACGCAACCCTTCTCCAATATCACGATCAATTCTGCGGCTGATAGCACCTCCAATGGCCTCAAACACCTCCACCTGAGGTGAACTAATGGTCATATCCAAACTGTATCTATCAGCTGCATTCGAATCAAAACCCAACTCATCATCTGCATCCGAATCTAAATGACTTTCACGCTGTGTCACCTCAGCTGGAATCCCAACCAATGCAGAATGATCTGGAGTAATCTTCACCCAATATGGAGTAGCATCATTCTCCACCCGCTGCGATACCTCTAAGGTCTGTCCAAAACTCTCCACCTGCTGAGAGTCAATTGGCTTCCTCATCGAAGCCTTAACCAAAGTGACACTATCAGACCAATCTTCCAATAGAGTTTTACCTCCAATCACAGCAGTTGACAACTCTTTAATAGGATGACCCAAATATGTCAAAGCCTCTGTCCAGAAACTCTTCTACAAATCATTGCTCGACCACAAACACCGATCCTCCCCCAGTAAGGCACGGTTCTCCAAATTTATCACCCTATTTAGTTGCCCCAAGATTTTCTTTCCAACGAAGTGTCTCGAAATGCTGTGAGCTCGGCTCCAATACAGAAATAGGTCCATCTTGTACCTCCCACCAGAATGGAGTACCTTCACCTTTCTGTCTATTACACACTTCTTCAATCTGTTAGAGACTACTAGGACTTTCTCCAATGGGGATTTGGTTGCAACCCAAACACGCCTAGACCAGCCACCAACAAAGGAAACCAAACGCCTATTACCTCCCAATGATGCCCCCTTGGAAGGCCCCCAAACATCCACGTGAACTCCTCCAGAACGACCCATAGCACGGTGAATAGAGGTGCCACACTTCACCTCGGTCTTCTTGCTCACATCAACATGTTCACTGGACTTCAAACCACAGGTCTTCGCACCCTCTTTCAATCTATGCGAGGAATCAATATTGGAATGGCCAAGCCCCAAATGTCGCAGTCTAGTCGAATTAACAGAAGTCGCCAGCTCTCCACCTATTACTATACCTCCAGTCAAGTAATACAGGTTATTCCTCCTGACGCCCTTCATCAAAATACGAGAGTCTCTCACAATCTCGAGAACCATGTCCTCAACACGAACCTTCAGACCCTCTCCAACCAAAGCTCTAATCGAGATCAAGTTCTTCCTCAAAGAAGGAACATATCTCACATCATTTATCTCCCTAACAGTCCCGTTAAATATTTTTATGCGAATTCTTCCTATCCCAAGGATCTGGCATGCACGGTTATCAGCCATGTACACCACACCACTATCCACCAGCTTCTCAAAACTGGAGAACCATTTCCTTCTAGGGCACACATGATAGGTCATACCACTATCCAACATCCATTCAGATTCCTCCGAATAGCTATCTGTAGGACTGATAGAAAGCGAATAAATAGAAGAGTCAGAATTATTACCATCCGATACGATGTTTGCTTCTGATGATGGTTGCTTCCCTTTTCCCTTCTGCTTATTCTTCATCCATTCGTCGAGCTTTGGGCAGTCTTTCTTCCAATGACCAGTCTCCTTGCACCAAGCACACTGATCTTTTCCAATTGTAGGATGCCCTACTCTAGACTGTGACTTCCAATTCTTTCGGTTTGGACCCTTCCCTCTTGCGACCAACGCCTCCGCTACCGGCTCAACCGAAGCCTCCTTATCCTTCTTTCGAAGCTGATAATTCACAAGTGCAGCGGTGACCTCACTATACGAAAGTGATGCCTTCCCATTAATCAGAGTAAGAACGAAGGTCTCATATTCCTCGTCGGGCAAGGAACTCAACAACAGCAACGCCTTGTCCTCATCTTCAATCTTGACATCCACATTCGCCAAATCCGCAAGAAGCTTTGTGTAGTGGTTCATGTGATCTCTAATGGAGGTTCCCTTCTTCATCTGGAAACGATAAAGTCTCCTCTTCAAATGCAAGCGATTTTCCACACTCTTGGTCAAATACTTGCTTTCGAGAATCTCCCAAATCTTCTTTGCAGAAGTCTCATTCATCACATCATATTTTAGATCTTGAGTCAAACAAGATCTAATCACACCACACGCCGTTCGATTCATCTTCTTCCAAACCTTCTCTTCAATCTCATCTGGCTTGCCATCTAACTCCAATGTATCCTCCAAATTCTGCGCGTTCAGCGCATCCAAAACCTCGCATCTCCATAATCCAAAGTTGTTTGTGCCATTAAATTTCTCCACATCTATCTTCATAGAGTGGATATTCAAACTCTGAATGGTCTTCGCGCCAGAAGAACCACCCTCGACACCTGAAGCACCTTCTTTCCCCGATATCTTACGCACCAACGAACAAAGAATAGATCCAAAACTGAAAGATAGAGTCTTTACCAAAAGATCTCACCTTTATCACCAACGAAGTCCTAAACGGGCCTCCAAATTGATCTACTTCTCCAACCAAACCCTAGATCTGGAACCTGGCTCTGATACCACTTGTTGTGCGCAGCGAAAATTTTGGCAGCACTTCGGCAGCACAACAAGAGAGTCAGGTCGCAATAAGAATTCTTGTTTCTCAAAGGGAACAAGAATCTGAAGCCTAATATCTCATCAAAGTGAGATATTAGCTCTTCCTCTCGTCAGCTCTAGGACTGCGCGTCGAGGGAACCTAAAAAGCTATTACAAATCACCCAAATAGCAGTACAACCAATTTTACGTGGTTCGGCAAATTACCTACGTCCACGGGGCAAGGAGGGGGAGATCTACTAATAGAGGGAGATAATACAACTAGGGTTTACAATCACTCACAACTAAAACCCTCAAACAAACTCTCAGATCCCTCACAATATCTCTCTACAAAAGGCTACACAAAACCCTAAAAGGGACTACACAAATCTCCTCAACTGCAGCCGCCGGCCTTGCACGCACCTGCCTTCCTCTCAAAAATCGCCTGCACTCGGTTTTGTACCGCAGCCGCAAAGAAAACAAATCACAACCTCCTGCGCTTGTTTTCCCCCTCTGCAATTAGCGAATTTTTCTCCTCTGCCGGCTTGCACACGCAACCTCCTTTTCACCGCCTCCTGCACAAAAGACCTAGGGTTTTATTTCCGCGTGCATTTATAAGCACGAATTGTGAACTCGGGTGGGCCTGCGGTTTCGGTTTTTGCTTCCAGCTCTTCACGCGTTTCTTCACGCGTTTTGCTCCCGCATGCAATCAATTAAAAAGGAGCAATCAATTGAAAAGGAGATCTCTTCACAAGGACGTGGCCCATGTGGCCCTCACTCACGCCTCCTAACAGCCCCAGCCTATCTACAATAACCCAATAGACTTTTGATTTGCAGTGTTTTATGAGTAGCTTTTGTGCCTTTTCACTTAGGGGGTGGAAATGAACCACATAATTAACAAATAGTTTGAGTAACTATTCAGTCATATTTGGTTCGATAGTTCATTTTCCACTAAACAAATATTTGTTAGTATTCGAGTTTACTCACGAATAGAATTTAACCAGATATATATTCGATTCGTTTGTCTATCAAATATTCGTTTAAAATTTGATCACTTGTTATTTTTATTATTGCACATTTGATGTCATATTTTAAACCTATTTACCATTTATACTTAAGTTTTATGTACTGATTTTAAGACTTAAATAATCTTAAATCTATTTTCTTATGAAAATTTTGATTTAAATATACATACATTATATATTATAAAGGAATAATTTTTATTTATTAATTTAAATACCATTTGAAAATCAAATTCTTTAGCGGAATAAATATACTTTGATATTCGAAAAGTATTCGAAAATCAAATTCTTTAGCGGAATAAATATACTTTGATATTCGAAAAGTATTCGTGAATATTCATGAATATTTATCAAATACCAAGAGCGGAATAAATATACTTTGATATTCGAAAAGTATTCGTGAATATTCATGAATATTTATCAAATACCAAATATTTGAGTTCGAATTCGAAAAACTCCATATATGAATATTAGAGTCCGTATTCGAATTCAATAATTTTAAACAAATACAAATACGAACACATTAGTATTCGATTCGATTCGATCATTTACCACCCTTGCTTTCACTGATTTCCATTCAAATGAAGTTCTTCATGACGCTTACTTGAATTGCAGCTTTTGGGGAGACAATGCTTCATACTATTGGATATATTTATTCAAAACAGGCTTCTAGAGCGCTTGGAAAGAAAATTATTTTGATGGATGTCCCATTTATAGCTGAGTGGGTTCGTGATAAAGGTCACTTTGTTAAATCCCAAGTAAATGCAGCTTCAGGTGAGCTTTACAACCAAGCTTCCCTATGCCAATTTCATGTGTCAATCAGAAAATAACTTTTTTGGAATTATTGTCTGATGCTAAGTGCCATCGCATTGATGCAGCTACAGAAAGGAATGAAGAAGTTTGAGGGAAGTGAAAACAATGAAGAGGGCTTCGACAGGACCATTGAAGAGAAAAAGGATTTGATGCTCAACTCTTTGTGGAAGATTAATGTGGCCCGTTCTTCTTCATGGTTGATATAGAGTTAACTCTATCCCATGTTTGTCAAACAGTAAGTTTCTTCAATTATTTTTGCTGCTTATAAATATAAATTTAAATAAACCTCAAGAAATTTGATATGTTTTATTTGGCTTTTTCTCTTATCCTTGGAGATCAAAGAAATTGTAAACATAGTATATGATTCATCTTTTGGAGAGTCTTTCTCATCTGTGGAGCAGTTTTTTAGTTTATTCCCTAGTTTCAAAAAATTTTGATCATGCATTAGGTTTGGTGGTTCATGAAATTTTTTCCATGCTTACTGATTCCGTGTGGCTTAGGTTCTCAAGGATAACACTGGATGTGCTCAAGTTGCGTGCCAAAGCACTGAAGAAGTTAGGAACTATTTTCCAAGTAAGTGTTTTTCCAGTAAGGCTGTCTCTTTTAAGTGGCCAGTCTCAACTTTCAAATAGCATTGGGTTTGATAGCAATATGACTTGTGACATCGGAGTCTATATAAGATGACTTAAACCGTGTGCCTTCTTAAATTGGATACGTTTGCTAAGTATAGCTTCTATTAATACCTAATCTGCTAAATCAATTAGAAATGAGATATATGAATGAGACGGCTGCAAGATCTTCATCATCAGCTGTTTCATGAAAAGTTGGTCAATTCCCCTTCGGGACTTTTTCTGCAGGAAATAGCTTGGTTGTTGATGATAGTGTAAATATGAAATGGCGTTTCAAATTCACCTTGGTGTAGCCATATATAGTTTGCAAAACACCAGTTGAATTCATTCTTTTACCCAGAGAAACTTGTTTTGGTGCCTCTATATATGTTTTAAAGCTCTGTTCAAGAACAAAGATGAGGGGGAAAACTCATATTTCTGACAAAATATAATTGATGTCTTTTACAACTTCCTGGTATTTTCTATGTTTTTTAAGATCATATTCTAATATAACCTTCAATAAATTTTTAATATATTGCTTCACTTTTTTCATTATCTCTACATTCTAGTTGTGATCTTGACATGCATCTTTCTGAGTAAACATATTTATCTTTAAGCAATTTAATACAAGCTAAAATAAGCAAAAAAGTTGTTACTTGAAAAAAAAAGCAAAACATGTTTATTATTTTGATAATATTAGATTATACTTTTACTTGAATATGTTATATGTAAACAATTAGGTGATTAACGTGTAAAAGTCAATATGAACTAAGTCATTTAAAACCCGACTAGAAGTAGCCCTGTTTTTTATTTACAATATGTATCTTTTTTCTTTATTTCTTTTTTTTTTACCTCAATCTGAATGCAGTGGGGAAGATCGAATTTTTGATTCCGACCTATTTGTTGACATGCTTGATTTTAGTTTTTATTACAGTGAATCAAGGAGACCCCGCTGTTTCATTTGCTCACTAGTAAAAAGAGGCTCAGCCCCAACGGGTGTAAGTAACCGTTGGGGCTGATTTTACTTGCCCCAACGGTTTAAACCGTTGGGATAAGTTGATTTTAGCCTACACCTTAAAGGAGGGAAATTTCCCCCCATTTATTTTCGCCAAAAAATGAAAAAAACCCACAAAACTCCCCCAGTTCCCCCGTTCTCTCTCTCTCTTTCTCTCATCAGAAACCAGCCCAAACCCCGTTCTCTCTCGCTCTCTCTCATCTGAACTCGTCGCTGCCGTCGGTGTTCGCCGCCGCCGTCGAGATCTGGAGTTCGCCGCCACCTTTATCAGCAAAAACCCTAGCCCTGACCCGTCCCCTCTCCTCCTCATTGGAACCCTAACCTCCTCATCAATTTCATTGGGGGTTTCAACCGCCGTGACCAGGCGGTCGACGGAACCATTGGTTCAGATCGTACGGCGGCGATGGATGCCGCATTGATCTCGGAGGCATTCGAGGGTTTCGATCTGAACTAGGGTTTTTTGAACTCGCCCTCTCTCAGTTCCTTCACTGTTATTCCTCTTACCCATTGGAATCGATCCTTAGGGTTTTGATGTTTTGATGTCAGATTGTAGCAAGATGCAGAGAATCGAATGCTTCTGTCCGATATAGTCCATAGAAGTGCCACTCATGTAAGCCTCGATTTCAGATCTTTACACCGAGTTCTAACATGGATTTGATTCAAAATCTCATTTTCGTTTATGTTTCAAGCGGCCTAGGGTTCTTACAGTTGAGGACAAGCTGATGAATCTCGAATGCAAGTAAGTTCCCTTTGTGCCTCCTTTTTACAAATCTGTTGCACATTTGTACTAAGGTTTGATTTTAAGATTGTGGAGGCTGAGATGGACTTGACATTGGCAAAGAGTCAGGGCTATTTGAGGCGAGAAAATTCTTCTTCTCCTAAGATACACTGGTTTTGGGAGTAACCTTAAGAGGAATGTGTTCAGGGGCTCGTGGATGCCTACAGGTTGGTCCTGTTTTTAATAGATGAAATTTCGTAACTATGTCTGTGAGTTAGTTATTTCGCCAATCTCACATTCAATGCCTTGTCAATATCATAGCCATTCCAGCCAAACCCTTGATCCATTCCTCTGGGTTTAAGAGCTGATCCCCAAAGATATATATCAGTATTATCATACCTAATCTTGCTAGTGAGAGTTGGACATTGATTAGCATACCTAATCTTGCTAGTGAGAGAGATATATACCCTCATACCATAGGAAACTGCCAGCATTATCAGTAGAATAAATTTCTACAAGGTTGAAATATAATGCTAGCAAACTGATTACTTTGCTGATTGAATTGCAAAGTTTGATTCATATATAATAATGTTCACTAGATTGTGAGCTATTCTTATTTCATCTTCTGCATACTCCTGAGGCAAATAATTTGATAGATGCGACTGTGATGATGTATGCACATGCTTCTTAAAGGCAAAATGCAGTAGACATCATGGCTGCAAACCAATGATAGAACAATTTAAATCAAATTTTATACATACTGCATGTGAGCCTATTCCTTCTCATGCGAAGAATGTTTGAGATAGCACATTCAGAGAGTTTAAAGCAGGATATTCATAATGATACCTTTACTTTTATGCTATCTGAGATGTTTATTTGAACGTTTAAACAAGTTCAATAGTGCTCCATGCTGTTTTTTTATCAAGGCTCTTTGTCATAACTTGTAATTTAGTTGAGATTTTTTTGTGCTCTGGCTTTGCATTTGACTTATCTACTCTACAGATTTAGCAGAATGCAATGGGCTTGGAAAGACTGTTCATGAAAATTTCTCAATATTTGCAAATCAAAGGGGATTTTTTTATCAAGGCTCTTTGTCATAACTTGTAATTTAGTTGAGATTTTTTTGTGCTCTGGCTTTGCATTTGACTTATCTACTCTGCAGATTTTAGCAGATGCAATGGGGCTTGGAAAGACTGTCATGAAAATTTCTCTAATACTTGCAAATCCAAGGGGAAGATCATGAAACCATGATATAGAAATGGAGAATCCTGAGGAAGAATCAAATTTTGTAAAGGGAGGAACCCTAATTGTTTGTCCCATGGCATTACTTGGCCAATGGAAGGTAACTGTGACACATTATGCCTCTGTAACAAATTCAATTTCTCTTATCTATTATTTTAACAGTACTTTCAAAGTCCTAGTTTACTTCTAGTATTAGTCTTGGAAAACTGTATCCTGTTCTTTTTCTTTTTAAATCACTGAAGCATCCAGTTCAATTATTATTCCAGGATGAGCTAGAGACCCATTCACGGTGGCCTGGTTCGATTTCTGTATTCATTCACTACGGTTGTGACAAAACAAATGATCCCAGAGAAATTGCCATTTATGATGTGGTCTTAACAACATATGGGGTTCTACAATCATCTTTTAAATCTGTCTGGATTATTGACATTCTTTTTTATCTACTTCTAATCTATATCCAGTTTTGGCCGTGAATGACAAAGTTGTCTTCTATCCAGAATTCAAATTCAAAGGCGAGCATATTTCATAGAGTTAATTGGTACAGAGTGGTACTAGATGAAACACACACCATCAAATCTTTAAAAGCTCAAGTAGCCCAATCAGCCTTTGCTCCGACTGCTTACTGCCGTTGGTGTCTTATTGGTGAGCTATTCTTATTGCAGAAGAAGATGTAATAGAGATATTTTGCATTAGATCTCTGATTGGATTGCAAAGTTTGATTCTTTGCTTGATAGATTGATTCAAAGTTCAAAGTTTGGATTCCTGGAGAGACGGTATTGTGATATTCATGGTTTTTGCTATACCATAATTCCTCATTTTTGGAATATCAGAATATTTTCCTGACTCCAACCTATTATAATTTTGATGTTTTTAGTTCTAGTTCATTTCAACTTGATAGGCTGAGGCCGTTGCTTATGACAACCCAATACCAGGTTATGGGACAAGAAATACTATAATTTGCGTTTATGGGTGGCTAAACCTAATGATCAGTATGATATGGTATGCAGTGATATTTATTTTGTTTAACACTGGAGATTACATCAATGCAGTTATTAGCAGCCAGCGAGCTGAAACATAGCAGCGTACTCTATTCTAATGATCGGTCTTATCAGGTATATTCTGCACTTTGTCTGCACTGTAATGCATGATGCCTCCTCTTTCTTCCCCATATTGTGATGAACCTCTTACCTTCACATTGTGTTTGTTTTATGATTTTTCTTAACATTGTTTTGTGTTAATATAGCAAACTCGGGAAGATCTGGGATGCGTGTTTGCTTTAATATCTATATAAATATTTTGTACTGTAGTCTTTCTACAGTATTGTATTGGTTATGATTACTTTGCTGACGTTGTAACTCAGTGTTAATATAGCTAACTCGGGAAGATCTGGAATGCGTGTTAGCTTTAATATCTATATAAATATTTTGTACTGTAGTCTTTCTACAGTATTGTATTGGTTATAACTTGATCAATTTCCTGACAAGGTTCTTTATTTATATGTTATTGGAATTTAGCTTTTGTTTTATATTGCTTCTATACAAGACTACGATACTACTACATGTTTCACTCACGTTAGCTGCATGTACCTTGCAGGTGGCACTACAACTGAATGATACTCACCCCTCCCTCGCAATTCCTGAGCTTATGAGGGTTCTTATTGATGAAGAAGTTCTCAAATGGCAAGAGGCGTGAGACATCGCATGCAAAGTCTTTTCCTTCACTGCCCACACAGTAGCTCCAGAAGGATTAGAAAAAAATCCTAGTTGAGCTGCTGAGTAACCTTCTTCCACGACATTTGCAAGTGAGTTCCAAATAAGTTTCTTAAGTTGTTATAATTGTAAACTAACATATTATCTGTGTTTTGTAGGAAATTATTCAAGTGGGAGTAGAAGATAACCTACATGATGGTCAAGATTAGCTTACATTAATTTATAGTTGTAGACAATTTTGCAAGTGATTTTAACACTATGAAATTGCAAGTGATGTAAACACTATGAAAGTATGGTATAAATTTGTGTAGTTTGGCTGTGAAAGCTCTTCGGACATAATATTTGTGTATACTATTTTGAGACCTAATAGAAATTTGTTGATGTTTAATTTTCTGATGTGGTCCACTGCCTTGATGCAACAAATTTCGCATCTGAGGATACATATTTTAACAATTTCCATAGCTCAAAAAAGTCATAGTATAATCTCCTCATTGTTGGTGAATATCAGAGAGAAATACTTGTATATTTTTATGCTTAGGGATCTTTTAGAGTTGTGCACCTTTACAGCATCAACGGTTTCAACCGTTGGTGCAAATAGAAGCACCAATAGTTTTAACCGTTGGTACAAATAGCAGCACCAACGGTTCAAACCGTTGGTGCTTCTATTTGCACCAAAGGTTCGCTAAAAGATTTTGTTTTGCGAGAAATCATTTCCTTGTTAAAAAGACAATCAGCGAGGAAATAATAATATCCTCGTTATTCGTTGGCGAAAATTTTGGAGAAAATAGCTGACCTCTAATATCAATGGCCTAACAAATGTCCATATACAAGTCAACAATCGTAGGCCAATTTAGAATTTTTTTTGAATAAATGTCCAGCATGAGGTAAAACTCCAGTATGGATAGAAATAAGGATTTGGTTTGTCTGGTTGATGGTTCTTTTTTGTAGGTTTTTGCACAATTCACATGAAGATTAACAACCAATTATTATTTATTCAGATTCAAGGGGATCCCAATGATATATGATTGCTCACAAATCTGATAAAATTTAAACAATTTGCGATTTTTTAATATACATTTATTTCATACTTCTGAAATTGGATTATGTTAATAGATAATATTGACTTCTGAAAATAGATTAAACCAAACGTGCAATGAAATCTCTTATTACTATTTGGCATAATGTTTAAGGTATATGGTGACCATGCTTCGATATCAATGGAGAATCGTATGTGTGTGTGTGTGTGTGGGCGTGTGTGTATAATTTATTTGTGATTTTTGAATATACATTGATTTCAGGTTTGATTATTTGTACAGTTGGTGAACTCTAATTGAGTTTTAATGGTTAGTATTATTGTTTTGAGTTTTGGTGATCCCCGAATTGAGGTGTGAGTTCTATTTTTATTAGTTTCATTGAAAACCTGATTGAACCCCCATTGAGTTTTGGTGAACCCAATCTGAAACTTGTATAATCACTAGTGAAAAGAGGCTCTACCCCAACGGGTGTAAGGAACCGTTGGGGCTGATTTCACTTACCCCAACGGTTTAAACCGTTGGGCAAGTTGATTTTAGCCTACACCCGAGGGAGGGAAATTTCCCCCCGTTTATTTTCGCCAAAAAATGAAAAAAAAACCCACAAACCCCCCATTCCCCCGTTCTCTCTCTCTCTCTCGCTCTCTCTCTCTCTCTCTCTCTCATCAGAAAACCGGCCCCAAACCCCATTTTCTCTCATCTGAACTCCAGCTCCAGTAGGTGTTCGCCGCCGCCGTCGAGATCTGGAGTTCGCCGCCATCTATAGCATCAAAAAACCTAGCCCTGACCCGTTCCCTCTCCTCCTCATTGGAACCCTAACCTCCTCATCAATTTCATTGGGGGTTTCAACCGCCGTGACCAGGTGGTCGACGGAACCATCAGATTCCGATCGTACGGCGATGGTGGATGCCGCATCGATCTCGGAGGCGTTCGAGGGTTTCGATCTAAACTAGGGTTTTTTGAACTCGCCCTCTCTCAGTTCCTTGACTGTTATTCCTCTTACCCATTGGAATTGATCCTTAGGGTTTTGATGTTTTTATGTCAGATTGTGGCAAGATGCATAGAATCGAATGCTTCTGTTCGATCTAGTCCATAGAAGTGTCATTGATGTAAGCTTTGATTTTAGATCTTTACACCAAGTTCTGATGTGCATTTGATTCAAAATCTCATTTTTGTTTATGTTTGAAGCACCCTAGGGTTCTTACAGCTGAGGATAAGCTGATGAATCTCGGATGCAAATAAGTTCCCTTTGTGCCTCCTTTTTTACAAATCTGATGCACATTTTTACTAAGGTTTGATTTTGGGGTATAGGGAAATTGGGAGGGAAGATTGTGGAGGCTTAGATGGACTTGACATTGGCAAAGAGTCAGGGCTATTTGAGGCGAGAAAATTCTTCTTCTCCTAAGATACACTGGTTTTGGGAGTAACCTTAAGAGGAATGTGTTCAGGGGCTCGTGGATGCCTACAGGTTGGTCCTGTTTTTAATAGATGAAATTTCGTAACTATGTCTGTGAGTTAGTTATTTCGCCAATCTCACATTCAATGCCTTGTCAATATCATAGCCATTCCAGCCAAACCCTTGATCCATTCCTCTGGGTTTAAGAGCTGATCCCCAAAGATATATATCAGTATTATCATACCTAATCTTGCTAGTGAGAGTTGGACATTGATTAGCATACCTAATCTTGCTAGTGAGAGAGATATATACCCTCATACCATAGGAAACTGCCAGCATTATCAGTAGAATAAATTTCTACAAGGTTGAAATATAATGCTAGCAAACTGATTACTTTGCTGATTGAATTGCAAAGTTTGATTCATATATAATAATGTTCACTAGATTGTGAGCTATTCTTATTTCATCTTCTGCATACTCCTGAGGCAAATAATTTGATAGATGCGACTGTGATGATGTATGCACATGCTTCTTAAAGGCAAAATGCAGTAGACATCATGGCTGCAAACCAATGATAGAACAATTTAAATCAAATTTTATACATACTGCATGTGAGCCTATTCCTTCTCATGCGAAGAATGTTTGAGATAGCACATTCAGAGAGTTTAAAGCAGGATATTCATAATGATACCTTTACTTTTATGCTATCTGAGATGTTTATTTGAACGTTTAAACAAGTGGCAGGATATTCATAATGATACCTTTACTTTTATGCTATCTGAGATGTTTATTTGAACGTTTAAACAAGTTCAATAGTGCTCCATGCTGTTTTTTTACTTTTATGCTATCTGAGATGTTTATTTGAACGTTTAAACAAGTTCAATAGTGCTCCATGCTGTTTTTTTTATCAAGGCTCTTTGTCATAACTTGTAACTTAGTTGAGATTTTTTTGTGCTCTGGCTTTGCATTTGACTTATCTACTCTATAGATTTAGCAGATGCAATGGGGCTTGGAAATCCAAGGGGAAGATCAAGAAACCATAATATAGAAATGGAGAATCCTGAGGAAGAATCAAATTTTGTAAAGGGAGGAACCCTAATTGTTTGTCCCATGGCATTACGTGGCCAATGGAAGGTAACTGTGATACATTATGCCTCTGTAACAAATTCAATTTCTCTTATCTATTATTTTAACAGTACTTTCAAAGTCCTAGTTTACTTCTAGTATTAGCCTTAGAAAACTGTATCCTGTTCTTTTTCTTTTTAAATCACTGAAGCATCCAGTTCAATTATTATTCCAGGATGAGCTAGAGACCCATTCACGGCCTGGTTCGATTTCTGTATTCATTCACTACGGTTGTGACAGAACAAATGATAGGTTGAGGCCGTTGCTTATGACAACCCAATACCAGGTTAATACCATCAATTTGCGTTTATGGGCGGCTAAACCTAATAGCCAGTATGATATGGTATGCAGTGATATTTATTTTGTTTAACACTGGAGATTACATCAATGCAGTTATTAGCAGCCAGCGAGCTGAAACAATTAGCAGCGTACTCTATTCTGATGATCGGTCTTATCAGGTATATTCTGCACTTTGTCTGCACGGTAATGCATGATGCCTCCTCTTTCTTCCCCATATTGTGATGAACCTCTTACCTTCACATTGTGTTTGTTTTATGATTTTTCTTAACATTGTTTTGTGTTAATATAGCAAACTCGGGAAGATCTGGGATGCGTGTTTGCTTTAATATCTATATAAATATTTTGTACTGTAGTCTTTCTACAATATTGTATCGGTTATGATTACTTTGCTGTTGTAACTCAGTTGTGTGTCTGAATAGTAGGGAAAGGAACTAAGGTTGAAGCAACAATACTTTTTCGTCTCAGCTTCTCTTCAAGACATCATTCGGAGATATAAAGATTCTCACAATAACTTGATCAATTTCCTGACAAGGTTCTTTATTTATATGTTATTGGAATTTAGCTTTTGTTTTATATTGCTTCTATACAAGACTACGATACTACTACATGTTTCACTCACGTCAGCTGCCAGTACCTTGCAGGTGGCACTGCAACTGAATGATACTCACCCCTCCCTCGCAATTCCTGAGCTTATGAGGGTTCTTATTGATGAAGAACTTCTTAAATGGCAAGAGGCGTGAGACATCGCATGCAAAGTCTTTTCCTTCACTGCCCACACAGTAGCTCCAGAAGGATTAGAAAAAAATCCCAGTTGAGCTGCTGAGTAACCTTCTTCCACGACATTTGCAAGTGAGTTCCAAATAAGTTTCTTAAGTTGTTTTAATTGTAAACTAACATATTCTCTGTGTTTTGTAGGAAATTATTCAAGTGGGAGTAGAAGATAACCTACATGATGGTCAAGATTAGCTTACATTAATTTATAGTTGTAGACAATTTTGCAAGTGATTTTAACACTATGAAATTGCAAGTGATGTAAACACTATGAAAGTATGGTATAAATTTGTGTAGTTTGGCTGTGAAAGCTCTTCGGACATAATATTTGTGTATACTATTTTGAGACCTAATAGAAATTTGTTGATGTTTAATTTTCTGATGTGGTCCACTGCCTTGATGCAACAAATTTCGCATCTGAGGATACATATTTTAACAATTTCCTTAGCTCAAAAAAGCTGTAGTATAATCTCCTCATTGTTGGTGAATATCAGAGAGAAATACCTGTATATTTTTATGCCTAGGGATCTTTTAGAGTTGTGCACCTTTACAGCACCAACGGTTGTAACCGTTGGTGCTTGGTTTTTTATATTTTTAAAATTATAATTCAAAAATAATCAGCACCAACGGTTACAACCGTTGGGGCTGATAAAACAACCGTTGGGGCTGATTTTTCCCCAACGCAATTTGTCCCAACGGGCTTTTTTTTTGCCCCAACGGTTACAACCGTTGGGGACACTATCTGCCCTAACGGTTTGAACCGTTGGGGCTGTCCCTGTTTGTACTAGTGGCTATGTGCTCAATTTGTAAACTTGGTGTCTAGGAAATATTGATACCCATATTTAATTTTAGTTTCGTAACATTTTTTTTTCAGGGTGCCAAAGCTCTTTACCGGAGGGATAATAGTCTAAGAGTTGAGGTGGACGTAGGGGTGTCCAAAAAGCCCGGAGCCGGGCCCGGCCCGGGCCCGGAAACCCGGGCAAAACCCGGGTCCGGGCCCGGGCCCGGGTCGCCGTTGACGAGCCCTGTCCGGGCCCGGCCCGGGCCCGGAACAGTGCCCAAATTGGGCACTGGGGCTTCGAATGGCCGGGCCGGCTGGCCCGGCCCGGCCCGGCCAAAACGGTCACGAAGGTGAGGGCCGGGCTGGCCCGGCCCGGGTCAAATCTGGCCTAACGGCCAGATTTGACCTTTTGACCGTTTTGCCCCTTAAAACGGTCAAAAAACGGCTATTTTTTGAGGGTTTTTTGGTCATTTACCTAGGGAGCTGCTTCTATAAATAGAGGGGGGTTTCAATTCATTTACTCACAACAAAACTCATCTATTTCTCTCTCTACTACTCTCTTATACAATCTTATACTATCTCAAACTAATATATTATCCTATAATCTTTTGTATTTTCTAATACTTCCAACAAATGGCTTCTGGGTCTGATTATGAAGAGCAACATGCATCTCCTACCGATCCAGAGATGAGTCCTCCTACAACAACTCCTCATCCTACCGGTATTAATCCTGAATCTGGTGGCGACGAATCTACGGCACCAAGAGCTCCAAAAAGGCCGATGTCTGATGTATGGAATTTTTTTGAGAAGATAGACGTCACCAAGGATGAACACGGTAGGATCATCTCTCAGAATGCGAAATGTGCGTTGTGCGGCCAGATATCCAAAGCTCATCATAAGAGCGGCACCAACCATCTCAAACGGCATATTGAAAACACAACAAAGGCCAAAATCTACAAGGTGATATCCGGCAGTCTATGCTTTCCCAATCATCCTTTTCAGGTACCCTCGGCAGTTGGAATTATGACGCTGCCCGAGCCCGGAAATGCGTAATCAGGTTTATTGTTCTTAAAAACCTTCCTTTTAAATTAGTAGAAGATGATGAATTTGAAGATTTATTTAGAGATGGTTTTTATCCTGCATTTACAAAATTTTCTCGTCAAACCTGTCAACGTGATATTTTAAAATATTATGTTGAGGAACAGGGAAAAATAATTTCTTATTTTAAAAATTTAAACTGCAAATTTTCTTTAACTTCTGATATTTGGTCATCTAGAGTGCAAACTGGTTATTTATGTATAACAGCACACTGGATTGATGAAAGTTGGAAAATGTTTAAAAGAGTTGTTTCTTTTATTGCAATTGAAGAGTCACACACTGGTATTAATGTTGCAAATTTAATTGTTGAAGAACTTATGAAACTAGAAATTGATCAAAGAATATTTACTCTTTCACTAGATAATGCAAGTAATAATAATGTAGCTGTTGATTTTCTGAAAATAACTTTGTCATTGACATGTCATGGTGAGCTTTTTCATGTTAAATGTATCTGTCATATTTTAAATTTAATTGTTCAAAGTGCATTTTCTGAAATTAAACCCATGATAGAAAAAGTTAGAACAGTTGCTAATATGCATAATGCTTCTGAAATGAGAATTAAAAGATGGAAACAAAGTTGTAAAAGAAAAAATTATAAGCCTAGACTAATTCCAAAAGATGTTGACCATAGGTAGAATTCCACCTATGTAATGTTATCTGTAGCAATAGAATATAAAGAAATTATAAATAATTTTATAAATTTTTATGCTTCTAGTTCTAGCTCTAGTAGTGCTTATGGAATAACTGAAGATGAATGGACAGTTATATGTAAATTAAATGAGATGTTACAAGTTTTTTTTTATTTTTTGGCGATATTATCTGGTTGTTATTATCCAACTATTACTTTAGCTGCTTTACAAATTTTAAATATTCAAAAAAATTTTACAAAATATCGTATGGATGATATTTTTGGAAGTATAATTTTTGAAATGGAGAGTAAATTTAATAAGTATTTTAGGCCTATTCCTCATATTTTTGGTATTGGTGTTCTTATTGATCCATGCTTGAAGGAAATTGGCCTTCGAAGTTTGTTACAATCATTGTATGGTGGACAGATTATAGACTTAGATGATGGATCCACCCTTACTGCTACTACTCATTATTTAGCTATTAGAAATTATTTTCAAACCTTATATGATGAGTATGCAGCTAGATATGGTGTAGCTACACAACAGTCTTCAGCTTCGGCACCTTCAGCTTCGAGCACAGGTCGAGGTAAAAGTGTAAGTTTTGATAGGTATGCAATGGTAGCTGAACTAACTGGTGGATCTGGAACTTCATCAGGATTAGATGTTTCTGAAATAGATGAATATTTTTCTGCTTCTTTAGTTAGATGTCAAGGAAATGCTTTAGATATTTTGCAATGGTGGAAAGTATATGGATCAGTTTCATATCCTATACTTTCCACCATGGTTCGTGACTTACTATCAGTGCAGGTTTCGACTGTAGCCTCGGAATCCGCTTTCAGCACAGCAGGACGTTTGATCGACGACCACAGGACATGCTTAGATCCGTATACTGTACAAGCGGTGATGTGCTTACAGGATTGGTGGAGATACGAGAAGCGAACACAAGGCATCGAACGGATTGCTATGATTGAAGATAAATTTGAAGAGTTGGGACTAGCAGATAGATATAATGATTAGATAATATTCATAAAATTGTAATTTTTATTTCTTAGCTTTAAATTTGAATTAAATTATTTCGAAAAAAGTTGCAAATGATAGTGATATGGGTGAGTAGGTGCCAACCTAGTTGGGATGTACTCATCTATTGTGATGCGACGAATTTCGAAATAAATTTATACTTGTAAAGGATTTACCGATTATTAATAAAGAAGTTATTTTTATCATTTTTTGTACTTGTAATTTATGTCATTTCATTTCAAGTTATTAATTAAATTTATGATATTTTTTATAATAATTTATGGTTTATGGTTTTGTTAAAATTTTAAAAAAATAAAAAAAAATAAAAAAAAATTTTAAAAACAAACCGGGCCGGCCCGGTGTCCTGCCCGGGCCACCCGGGCCCGGCTCCGAACCACCCGGGCCCGGCTCCGGGCTTGGGTTTTGCCCGGCCCGGGCTCGGTTTCCCGGGCCGGGCCACCCGGGCCCGGCTCCGGGCTTGGGTTTTGCCCGGCCCGGGCTCGGTTTCCCGGGCCGGGCCGGGCCGGGCCGGATGGACAGCCCTAGGTGGACGCCAAGGGTAAGGATGCTACGTCGTCAAGAGTATGAAATAAACTAGCGAAGACCTCATCTCCAGAAGTACTACACTATTATTCTGTGCTTTCGCAATTCTTTTTTG